TTGAGCAATGCCTTGCTTAGCAGAAGAAAGTATGGCCCAGCCTGGTCTACATGGCCCGCATAACCCCTCACTGCCCTGCGCTCTTGCTTGGGAGGTGGTACAGAGTAGTGGTGAAGATTGTGACTCAGGAGTCTTCCTACGATGGGACCCCAGCTCCCACTGGGTGCTAATTGTGTGACCTTGAGCAAGCTACCTGCCCGTCTGGTGTTTTGATTTTCGGAGGTAAAAATAGGTCTCGCTGCATAGGGATGGTGAGCGTTAAGGAAGCACTCTGCATAGGAAGCACTCTGAAACCTGCCTGCTGGGGAGGGCACCCTCAGCACGCATCAGCTGGGACTGTGTAGGTTGTCCTCCTCCCAGCCATGTACCAGATTAAGGCCCTGACCCAGCCGTGAGGGCATTTAGCCTTGAAGGCAAAGAGAACTGAAGGCCAGTAAGTTGGTCACCAGCCCTTTTTAGACCTCAAAGTGTGGTAGTAATGGGCTAAGACATAGCAAAGTGCTGCACCCATTTTTCTCTTCATCTACATGCTACACCCTCGGGGTGGTGGAGGGGAAGGACAGGTGTACACACACACACACACACACACACACACCTCAGCCATGCTGCGTGTTCATCATCACCTCTGCTTTTCCACCCTCCAGGCTTGTCATAAATAGATAAGAGTGAAGAAACTCAGAAACACCTCACCCCCAGCACGAACAACTCTGGAGCAGCTTATAGCTCACATAGCACCCTGCTTTACCTTGCTGGTTCCCCCCTCTAGCCCTTGGGAACAGGCAGGATGGGCCCCAGGGTACAATTAGGAATTCAAAGCTGGGGCAGGAGAAGTCCCTTGAGTAAAGTCACAGGACAATTAAATGGCCAACCCGTACCTGGAACCCAGGTCTCCTGACAAGTAGCTGGAGCCTGAACCACAGTGGCTGCTCCCACCAGGTGCGCAGCCAGAGTCCTTCAAAGGCTCCAGCCCAGCCGAAACTGATTTGGCTCAGTGGACAAAGCATCAGCCTGCGGACTGAAGGTCCCGGGTTCGATCCCGGTCAAGGGCATGTACCTTGGTTGCGGGCACATCCCCGGTAGGGTGTGTGCAGGAGGCAGCTGATCGATGATCCTCTCTCACCGATGTTTCTAGCTCTCTATCCCTCTCTCTTCCTCTCTGTAAAAAAAAAAAAAAAAAAGGCTCCAGCCCAGTGTGCGGGGCCTCTCGCTGATGGGTGAGGACAGTCAGACGTGGCTGAGGAGTTGGGCTCTCTCTTTTCATCCTTCCTCTCTACTTCCTTTCCTCCTTCCTCCCTCGGGAAGCCTTCCTAGCAGGCCTGCCCTGCAGACAGTTCCTCTCCCCTTCCTGTTGCTCTTGGCAGATGGGAAGGAAAAGAACCCAGGAGCCCCAGTTCCAAGCCTCAGATGGTGCTGATGACATTGGATGGTTCTGCTGACACCGTCAGACCCACCGTCACCCATCTGCCTTCCGGCGGTCCTGAGGCCACTCCTAGCTGCTTAGAGAGTCCGCCACCCGGCCCACCTGAGCCAGTGAGCCCCTCTGCCCAGCAGGCCTCCAGTGGATGGCCACCTGCAGGCTGCTCGGTAGGTGATCTCAGGTTGCCCAGCACCCCCGAGGCTGAGTCCTTGAGCTCTGGCATCTAAAAAGAAGCCTGGATTTCTCCAACGCTGGGGCCCTGCTTGGAGGCTGCTGCCCTTGGGATGTGGGAGAGGGGTTGGCAGATAAAGGGGGGCCCCTTAGAAAGGAGCCCAGGGCTTCTCTTACCTGGGGGGCCTCTGCCCGGGGCCTGGGGAGCTGTCTCCTTCTTCTAGCTGAGCACCTCACGCCTGGCTGCCAGAGGCCTCTAGCCCCCAGTACTTCTGTCCCTGCCCCCTCCACCTTCCACCCTCCTTCCACCCCACCCCCATTTCCAGAGCCTTGGGTCTCCGAAGAGTATTGTTTACGGCCCTGTTGGTACAACACTGTCCCCTGCCCTGGGAGGCTCAGATTTCCCAGGGAGATCTGACAGGTGGCACCTCTCAATCATAGTGCTTGTGCCTCCTGCCCTGACCCCCGCCAGCAGCATGCATTCTCTGGTCGTCTTTCTTCCCAGCGTACTTGCCTGGCCCCGGAGACCCGGAACACCATCTGCAGGCCCATTTGGATGGTCCCCAGCCCTCTGGCCTCCCCTGTTCATCCAGAGCCCAGGCTCGGCCTCCTCTGCCCCGCCCCCTACCTTGTGTCTTTAAATAGTCAGTCCCTTTTACTCTTCCTCAGACAAAAGCAGCTGCTGGAGGGTGGGCTAAGGAGGGAGCCAGGAGGACAGCTGCTGTCCGGACTATACTGGGGTGTCTTGGAAGTCTCCGGGCTCACACCGGGCAGAGATTTGGAGGGGGGAGGGGCAGGGGGAGAAGACTGATGGGCCAAGGAGATGGATCCCCGGGCTTAGAGTTTAGGAACACAAAGCTGAGCTCCAGTTTTGAGTGAAGTGACATTTTTTTGTACTGAATCTAGATTTTGTTCAGAAAAACCAAGCCCATCGTTACCTTCTCTCTATGTCCTATGAGAGGCACTACTTTTTGGAAAATGTGTGCAGAGCATTCCCCGCCTCCCTGTCCCCCCTCTCCTACCCACGCACACAACTTAGGAAGCTTGTGGCTCCCCCAGTCCCCACTCCCGGCCCCCACCACTTCAGCCACACTGACCTCCTTCCTGTTCCTTAAATAAATTGATTCCTTGCCACACGCAGGAGTGTAACCTTTTTGCTTTTGCTCTTTGCAAGACTAGCTCCTTCTCGTTCTTCTGCTCGCAGCTCTAATTCCATTTCCTCAGAGAGGGCTCTGTGACCTTCAGTTCCACGCCATCGTTTCAGCCTGTTTCATTTTCTTCTTACTATTTATTGGGATCCAAATTTACCTTATTATCTGACTCTCATTAGACTCTAAGCTCTCTGAGGCAGGGACTGTGTGTACTCTGCTCGTGGCGGTATGCCCAGGAACTAGCAAATTGCCTGGTTCACATGAGGTGCTCAATATATTGAATACAGGAGCTAATTACTTAGTTAATAGAAGTTGGGGATTGGAACTTGGGGGCCTGTGCTTGGGGTGACCTGAAAGCGATGTGTGGGTACCAATGCTGGACAGTTCAATATTGATGGTTGTTGGCAGTCTCCAGTATTGAGATGTCTCCTTCACACATCCATAGTTTATTTACCCAAGATAGGTGAGCTTTTTCATATATCTCTCTAGCCTGCTGTCCTTCTTTATTTATTTTTAAAAATATATTTTTAGTGATTTCAAAGCAGAAGGGAGAGGGAGAGAGATAGAAACATCAATGATGATGTTTCTATCTCTATCCCTCTCTTCCTATCTGTAAAAAAAATCAATAAAATATATATATAAAAAAAAAGATATAGTTCACAAGAGTTCACCCTCCTCCCATGACTAAACACACTAGGTTAACTCTAGTGGCAATCAAAATAGCTCCTATTCACCTCTTTCCAGCCTAGTGAGTCTAACAGAAGTTGAATAAAATGTAAGTATATATGTCTTGTCTTTCTGCAAGCAGGAACTATGTCTCCCTTAACTTGGTAATCCCAGAGAAAGATTAGTGGCCTGTAAGCATGCAGCTGTATTCACACACAGTTTCTTGAAGCACTTGTTCCCAAACTTGGTTGTACAAAGGAATTTATGTACAATTTATGAAACTTCCTGCAAATCCATAATTATTTCAAAGTCAACTTTTAAAAAAATCACTACAAAAAGAAAAATAAACAAAATAATGTAATTAAAGCACCTCGCCCATGGCAGATGCTCAGTAAAATGAAATCATTGTTTTTTTTTATTTTTTTAACTTTAGACTTTATTATGGCCAATATAAAACATACAGGAAAGTGGAGAGCACAGTATAATGAACTTCCAAATACCTATCACCGGGATTTAACAATTACTCACGTCAAGCCATATTTTCCTCATCTATTTTTATCTATGTCTTTTTTTCTACAATGCCATTTTACACCCTCAAAATTATAGTAATTTCTTCACGTCATCTAATGCACATTATCACACATCTATTGATAATTCACCTAGGAATTTAAAAGTTTACTAATAGTATCTGGGCTTTACTCCCAGGGACTCTGGTATAGTTGGTATGAGATGCGCCTTGGGCATCAGGATTTTTTAAAATGTCCCAGGATGCCTTGACCGGTTTGGCTCAGTGGATAGAGCGTCGTCCTGCGGACTAAAATGTCTCGTGTTCAATTCCGGTCAAGGGCATGTACCTTGGTTGCAGGCCCATTCCCAGTGGGGGTTGTGCAGGAGGCAGCTGACCGATGTTTCTAACTCTCTATCCCTCTCCCTTTCTCTCTGTAAAAAAAAATCAATAAAATTTATTTAAAACAAAATAAAGTGTCCCCGGTGATCTTAACGTGCAGCACCAACTGAGAACTGCTGTTCAGGGTGTCCTTCCTCGCATGCGCCTAATTTGTGCTCAGGAGTCGGCTCTCGGAGGACCGGAGACGGGGTTCCCAGAGCTCTGTAGTCCCGCCCCCTTCCCAGAGAACCAATGAACTCAAGCCTCTCCCTTGACAACGCCAGCGACTTGACCTCCAGGCTGCCGGCGCTCTGCACTCCGCCCAAGCCTCTATGGTATTTGGGTGTCCTCTCTAGCACTTGCAAGCCTCCTTCGCCTTCAGCCGGAGCCCGTGTCCTAGCGCGCCTCGTTGGTACTTCATTCCGAGAGCGAGTCCAGATCCAAAAGGGGGCGGGACTTCCTCCCGGAAGTGGCTCACGTGTTTCCACCTTTGCCCACCTGGGTTCTTGGTAAGTTCTTAGTGTTTGTCTGAAGTTGGGGACGCCGGGGCCTATATGATCGGCTCCAGGCTGTGTCGAGTGACGTCTGACCTACCGGTGACACTGGTGATGTCGCCGCCACTTCAGAGGTGCAGCCCTTCGGCCGGCGCCCGGGCACGTTGTCCGCGTAGGATCCAATTCCGAGGGCCGCGTAGTGTCAGGCCCGCGGTTTAGAGAGTTTCCCTTCCGGTCTCTCGGTCTCCTGGGTAGAGGTGACCTAGAGGCTCTGAGCGTCAGGACCGGGGACTCGACTTCCAGCCCTGCTAGTGACGTGCTGTGTGACCTTGGGCTAGGCAGTGTTCCCCTTCCGGGCCTCAGTGTCCACATCTGTGAAATGGGATGGTTGAACTCAGGTCAGTGGCCCCTGCCGGTCTGATGCCCTATGATGACTCTGCATCCTTTTAACTCCTGGGACGGGAAAGTGAACGGGAGAGGTGGGTGCTGACGGTGATGACTTTCCCAGGACTAGGACGTAGGAAGGAGATCACCGTGCAGGGCTGAGATGGATCCGCTCAGGGCCCAGCAGCTGGCGGCGGAGCTGGAGGTAGAAATGATGGCTGATATGTACAACAGGTAAGAGCCGACTCTGTCTTGGGGAATGATCCTAGGTTGCTCTTGCTAAGGGTAGTGGTGGATGACATGAAAAATGCTTTGCTCAATTTTGGGAGGCACCCACCCCCATCAACTCCATCCCCCCTTCCCCCAATCCCAATGGTTAGAGGCCAATGCAGATTCAGTACAGGGTCACTAGAAGGAGCAGAGCATTTAGACTGGGATGGATTGGCGATGAAGGAGCTGAGCAGGAGAGAAGGTTCAGTTTAGTTTCTGGTTAGGTTCCAAGAACAGTTGAAAGTATTTGGCTTTTGAAAAATAGAACGTATCCCACTTACTTAACATTTCTTAAACTCTTACTCTACCTCAGGCGGTTGCTAAGCATTTTTTAAAAATATATTTTATTGATTTTTTACAGAGAGGAAGGGAGAGGGATAGAGAGTTAGGAACATCGATGAGAGAGACATCGACCAGCTGCCTCCTGCACACCCCCTACTGGTGATGTGCCCTCAACCAAGGTACATGCCCTTGACCAGAATCGAACCTGGGGCCCTTTAGTCCACAGGCCGACACTCTATCCACTGAGCCAAACCGGTTTCGGCAGTTGCCAAGCATTTTACAATGCATTATATTTTTTAATCTTCAAAATAATCCACTGGGTGGCCCTGGCCAGGTAGCTCAGTTGGTTAAGTGAACCGTCTAGAATATACTCGAAGGTTGCATGTGGGTTTGATCCCTGGTGAGGGCACATGCGAGAATCAACCAATGAATGCGTAAATAGGTGGAGTAATAAACTGATGTTTCTCTATATGTCTCCCTTCCCTCTAAAATCAATAAATAAAAATTAAACAAAAAATAATCCACTGGGTTAATTTTACTGTGAGGACAGTGAAGCTTCTGGAATTTAAATAACTTTCTCAAGATCCACAGCTGGTCAGTAGCAATGTGAGGTCCAGTACTTTGGCAAATTTGGGAATAATTCATGGCTCCATCAATTGCCACTAGTATGGGCTTGGACAAGTTACTTGGACTATTTGACCACTGTTTCCCCATCTATCAAATGGAGGCACTACTACTACCTGCCTTATAGAGACATTATAAATATTAAATATTGCCCTGGCTAGTGTGGCTCAGTTGCTTGGGCATCATCCGTGCACTGAAGAGTTGCCAAATTGATTCCTGTCAGGGTACACACCCAGTTTGAGGGCTCCATCCCCAGTAGGGGACTTTCAGGAGTCAGGCAGCTGATTGAAGTTTTGCTCTCCCTTCCCTTCCAAAAATTAATAAAAACAAATCTTAAAAAAATCTATTAAATGTTAAAATGTACGACAAACTCTTAGCATCAAGCCCAATACATAGTAAGCAGTCAACAAATGTCTCCTATTTTTATTAGCTTGAGCTCTCTGGTATCCTGTGCTTATTGGTTGGTTTATGTTGGAGGCTATATGTTAGAATAATTTTTAAATGGAGGCTGAGCCCTAGCTGGTTTGGCTCAGTGGATAGAGCATTGGCCTGCGGACTTGAAGGGTCCCAGGTTCGATTCTGGCCAAGGGCACATGCCTGGGTTGTGGGCAGGAGGCCGCTGATCAATGATTCTCTCCCATCGTTGATGTTTCTATCTATCCCTCTCCCTTCCTCTCTGAAATCAATAAAAGTATATTTAAAATAAAAATGTAGGCTGTGAAGTCAGACTTCCTGGGTTAATACCTCACCTGTATATAGTCCTGAAACTCTCTGTACCTTTTTTTCTTCATCTTTAAAAAGGGGATATTTATGTGTAACTATAGGGTTATCATAAAAATCATGTCAAGCACTTAGCATGATGCCTGGAACACAGCCAGTACTCAACTAATGGTTTCTATTTAATTAGTTATAAACATGGGTTCAGGAAAGGTTCCTACTCTCAAGGACCTTCCAAAATACTTAAGGTGTAAACTGAGGATGTATACTGCCTGCCTCAGGTGAAATCAGTTTAGCACATTAGGAATGGTTGAGAGTTCCTGGTATGCCACAGGTGCTGTTGTCCTGACCTTGCCCTCCCTTCCCCGCAGAATGACAAGTGCCTGCCACCGGAAGTGCGTGCCTCCCCACTACAAGGAAGCAGAACTGTCCAAGGGCGAGTCTGTGTGCCTGGACCGGTGTGTCTCCAAGTACCTGGATATCCATGAGCGGATGGGCAAAAAGCTGACCGAGTTGTCTATGCAGGATGAAGAGCTGATGAAGAGGATGCAGCAGAGCTCTGGGCCTGCATGAGGCCCCACAGGATCCACCCCGAGGTGCCCCTGTCCCTTCCCACTTGCCTAATTAAAGTGCCCCTGTTGGGTGTCATCTGTGAAGACTGCCAGCCCTAGGCTATCTCTAGAGAGTCTCCAGGAGCCTGAAGCCTGGCTCTCCCCCCATCGAAGAGTGGGCATTGGTCACACCGGAATGTGGCTGTGTGTGTGTGTGTGTGTGTGTGTATTAAAAAATTTTGTTGACACCTACTATGTGCAAATAAAAACTGCTCTTAGTATCAAGATGCCTGGCACATCAGATTGTAAAGGCAGCAGACAGACACAACCTCTACCAGCAGAGGGAGTCTCAGTGTTTTAAAAGTATAAACTGGTCTGATGACTTAGGTTTGTTTGCATTCCAGGTGAGCCACTTGATGTCTGACCCTGAACATGTCATTTCACTGTGCATTAGCTTCCCAATTGTAAAGATAAAATGGGTTAATATGTGTGAAGTATTTAGAATAATGACTGGGGCATAGGAAGTAATGCATCTTAGCCATATATATGGTTATGTATTATATATATATATTGTATATTTAAATATACACATTTAGGTAACATGCTATATATGCTGTTAAATACTATGCATACATATTTATATCATAGGTGATATGACTTGTAAAATATACATTTATATTTATATTAAATATATAATTATAAAGTAATGAGTAATAAACATTATAAAATAAGTAATTATTGATAGTATAAATATATTTTAATAATATTAAGTGGAAGCAGGCATTTTCACAAATTATATAGAAAATATTTATTTATTTATATATATATTTTATTGATTTTTTTACAGAGAGGAAGGGAGAGGGAGGAGAGTTAGAAACGTTGATGAGAGAAACATGGACCAGCTGCCTCCTGCACACCCCCTACCAATGTACATACCCTTGACCAGAATCGAATCTGGGACCCTTCAGTCCGCAGACCGACGCTCTATCACTGAGCCAAACTGGTTTCGGCTATATAGAAAATATTTAGAGGAGCCAGTGAAAATAGTTGTGCTTAAGAAGGCAGCAGTTAGTCTTTTGGTTCTATACAATATCCATGTGAGGGAGCCCAGTGTGATGTGTGACGGGAGTGCTCCAGGCAGGGGACTGAGTGATCACTGCCCTTCAGCGTCCACCTGAATCAGGTACTGCGCTCCTCACTCTTCAGACACTATCCACCCAGTCCAATCCACCCAGCTGGCCAAGGGTCCTCTGAGGAGCCAGAGGTGCAGAGGAGCGGTGCTAGCTGGAGATCTCGAGTAGAGCAGTAACACAGAGGCCAGGCTGGCTGCCGCGTCTGCTGTCTCACATCTAATTCCTTCCCCAGGAGTGCCCTCTGAGAGTTGTGCAGCTCTCAGAATGTGTGGGACACTACGTGAGTTTTCAGTTGGCACCAATGCCACTGATAGTACCTTCACAGTGGGCCTTCCCAGATATTTCACAGAGGGAAGTGTCTGGGAGGTCACTGGGTATGAGTGAAGGAATCAATAGAAGCAGTGAGTTTCAGGTTTAAAGGTGCAGGTTCAAGCCAGATCACCTGAGGTGACATTTCCTAGCAGCGGGATGTGGGTGAAGCATATAACTGCCCCGTGCCTCAGTTACCCCATCCCCAAAATGGCAATGAAAGTATCTAACTCATTGAGTGGTTGTAAAAATTGTGTCAGCAACTACAGCATTTAGGAGATTGCCTCAATGTTAGCTTTTTTTAATTAAAAAAAAATTTTTTTTATTTGCTCAGTTTTGTGTGAGGGGACACTGGGTAGACCCCTGGAAAACTTCAAAACCATTGTCCATCTCTGCTAGTGGTGGGCAGAGAGCTAAGGCTCCTTTCTAAGGCTGAAGTGCAAGATTGGGTCAACAGGTGGCGCTGTCAGCTCATGGGATTGGCACTGCTGTGAACAATTCTATTACAATTTTGCATTATTTGCCTGTTCTGTGCAGGCAAAAGTGGAGAGTGAAGAGAATTGATATCGTACCTGCCTTCACATTTAGCAAGGAATGCCACAAATTCTCTGAGCTCCTAACTAGAACATCTAGAAGAGCACTTGCTTAGAAGTGGCAGAAAGTATGGAGGTTTCAGCAAACAAAGCTTGGGTGTGCCTGAAGTGCCGAGTGTGCAGGGAGCCAGTGGTGAGAGATGACACTTAAAGACTGGGCAGACGCAGGTCCAGAGGATCCTGGTGAGCTATTAAAGAGTTCGGATTTTCTCCTATTAAGGGGATCAGCAAACTGTTGAAGGACGTAAACCCTGGCTGGGAACATGACAGATCTCTCATTTTAGAGGCTCCCTCTAGCCGCCAGACGGGTGGATAGTGGGAGATGATGGTGTAATGGATTATGGGAGCTGGGCCAGAGAGCTGGGAGGAAAGAAAGCGGGGGGGGGGGACACACACACACACACACACACACACACACACACACACACGATGGGAGTAAGTACAGCTATTGCATTGCTATAGTGTGCTAATAAGTATATTTATTACAGTTAATCCTTATAATAACTGTGAAGTGGTACTACTATTCTCATTTTATACATAGAGAAGCCAAGGCTCTGGGAAGTTAATAGCTTGCTGAAAGTCACACAGCAAGCAAGTAGCAGAGCCAGCATTCCAACTTATTCAGACAGCAGCACCTACTCCTAACCAGTCCTCTGGGTTTGGGGGCAAGGGGTGCTTCCCAATGAGACAGAATTTCACATTTCATTCAACAATATTGGCTGTTGGCCCGTTACATGCAAAGAAGTACATAAAGTGCCCTAAGTGAGCTAGCTAGGCCCCTGCCCTCAGTGAGTGAGTGCAGGAGATGGAACAGACATGCAAAGGCCTAGGCCTATGGTTGGCAAACTGCGGCACTCGAGCCACATGTGGTTCTTTGACCCCTTGAGTGTGGCTCTTACATAAAATACCATGGCCTGAGCAAGTCTATTTTGAAGAAGTGGTGTTAGAAGAAGTTTAAGTTTTAAAAATTTGGCTCTCAAAAGAAATTTCAATCGTCCTGTTGATATTTGGCTCTGTTGACTAATGAGTTTGCTGACCCACTGGCTTAGGCCCTTTGTGCCATAGAGAAGAGGCAAAAACTAATCCTTAGATGTGTTTGTTCTTGCTTGATTATCACAGCTTTAAAAATCAGAAAATGTCTCACAAAAACCTGGACTTCGGTTTCTTTTGAAAATTTAGGAGATCTGACAAGTCGGCCCACATTGCTGCTTGGCAGCTGGCTCTGGAGGATAGACAGAGGTGGGAAGAGGTTCAGCTGTCCACCAAACCTCCCTCTGCTCATTTCTTCCTTGTCACCGTCTGCCTGACCTGAAGGCATTTGGTCTGCACCTTCTGCTCTGGGTGCCCGGATGAGCTGGATGCTATATGAGGGAATGCACTGTAGGCAGTCTCTGAGATGACTCTCAATATCCTGCCTGCTGCTATTTTATCCCCTTGGGTGTGTCTGAGACCTAGAGACGTGCTTCTAATAATACAGCAAAGGTGATGGGATGCCACTTCTCAGGTTAAGAAGATTGTAATGGCCATCTTGTCTTTCTCTCCCTCCCCTCCCCCCTTTTCCTCCCTCTCCTCTTGTTCTCTCTCTTCCTCCCCGCCTTGCTTGCTGACTGATGAAGCAGGCTTCCATCTGGTTGGCTGCCCTGTGAAGAGGCCCATGTGGGAAGGAATAGAGGGCAAGCTCCAGCCAGGGAGGAACTGAATCCTGGCAACATCCACACGAGTGAGCTCAGAAGCAGGTCCCTTTCTGGTCAAGCTTTCAGGTGCCCACAGCCCTGGCCCACTCTTTGCAGCTTTGTGAGCAGCCCTGAAGTAGAGGACCCATTGAGCTGCACCCCAATGCTGACCTAGAGAAACTAAGATAATATATGTTAAGCAGTTACATTTTGGGATACTTTTCTATGCAGCATTAAGTATCCAATCCACGTACAGTTCTCACAGCTGTTACAATTGTCTGAGACCTATATCAAGGATGGGCCAGGCACCATTGCAGGCATTTGGGACACATGAAGCAACACAACATAAAGATCCTTGCCCTCTAGGAACTCCTGTTCTGGTGGGGATGGTTCACATAGAAGTCTGGGCTGGCAGTGCTGTTTTGAAGGGAAGACAAACTCCCTCAGCTCTGGAGAGAAGTTCTTAACTTCTTTTGGGTCTTAGACACTGTTAAAACTCCAACAAAAGCCATAGACTGCTTTTTAGAAAAATGCATATGCACATGGGATTTTGCATGCGATTTTAGGGATTTTCGTAAGAATTCTTGTGGTCTGCCCTCAGAGGAGTCATGTGATGAGCATTGCTTTAGGTGCTGGGACAAAGAGAAACAAGCAAAATGGAAGATCTGTGGAGGGGAGACAGTAAAATCAGTGGCTTGTACAGTTGTGCTAAGAGCTATAAGGGATGTCCGGGAAGTTATAAAGCTACATAAAGGAATGTGCCCCCAGGTCTGGGTGCTCAGAGAAGACTGTCCCCCTGAAAGTCCCCAGGGATATGCTTTTACTGATCTTAGCAAAAGGAAAGGAGAGGGAAAGAGAGAAACATTGATGTGGAGAGAAGCATTGATCAGCTGCCAACATGCCTCGACTGGGAATCAAACCTGCAACTCTTGGTGCAGGAGATGTCACTCCAACCAACTGAGCTATACAGGCCAGGGCTTGAGTGAGATTTGAAGGGTGGGTAGGAATGTGTCAACTAGGGGGCACAGTGGGTGGTGGGATCTGTTATTTATGGGAGGACAGCGGTAAGGCAGGCAGGTACAGGTCCCTGCCCCCTGGGAATACAGTTTATCAGCAGAAACAGGCATCTTACGAGGAGTTTCACCAAAGGGAAATTGGGATGTATCATAGGTCACGCAGCAAAGGGATATAGTTTTAGAGTCAGACAAGGAGCTTTCCCTAAGGAAGTCACCAGTAAGTGGAAATCGGATTGACTAGATAGGCCAGGGCACGGGAAAGTTCCACGCCCAGGAGGAACTTCAGGGGGGAGAGAACATGGGGTGTTAATGGGCAAGAAGAGGTCACCAAGGCAAAAGCATAGAGAGGAGGGAAGCCAGAGGGGGGTGGGGGCAGTAGGTGAACCCGGGACATACTGGTAAGTGTTGTTGGGAGTTTGTACATTTCCCCAACCATCCCTGGGAGCGACCAAGCGGAGTAGCCTGATCAACACTGAGTTTCTAGTAGATCATTTTGACTGGATGGTGGGATTATGGACACTCTTTCAAAGTGTAAAATTCAGTCGAGTTGAGTATATTCAC